AGGCGCGGCAATCGAGTCACAGTGAAGACATGTGTGCTGTACTCCGGGCTGCTCAGGGTCGTGCTTGGGTGTCTTGATCTCCCAGAATTGGTTTAAGTGAAAAAATACAGGAAACCTGGTTTCGAAGGGTGAAAACAATGGTGTCCCGTAGATGTTTAAACCAATCCTTTGATGATCTCCAACAATAACCCCCAGAGTAAAAAAAGATCTTCAGAAAAGTACAGATTGGGAAGAGTATCCTGAATAGTTCAAGAATGTCAAGCCCACAAGATAGCCCACAGCCAAACAGTTCAGAATAGTCCTGCGTAGCTGAGAGTAGAACCCAACAATTCCACATGACACATCCTGCAACACGCAGTTGCCTGGAATAGAGTGAAGCCTGAAGGAAGGCAGATTTAAGCTCAAGCCGGTCAACCCAGTTGGAACATTTTCTGGGGTGACGATATTCTCTCAAAGTTTGGACGTGTTTTGTTGGATCACTAAACAGTCTGTCTTGGCTGCCTCACCTGTCGGACAGATCACAACAGGACGAGAGTCTGGCAACACGCTGTCAATGCTGCACTTTGTCATCAGCCTGTTTCGAAAGCAGTGTCCTGAAAGGAGATCCGAAACGGTGTCATGAAAGAGATTGATTTCATTGACTGAAGATTCTCACCGTGAGAACCCTGCTTCCATGGCTGGAGGACTTTGGAGGATGTCATGCTGGAATTCCGGCACTTCGACAGTGCGAAGAAGCTTGCAATGGAGGACATCCGCGTCCTCATTCACGACCTGAAGCTTTGGCAATGTGAGGGATTAGAGATTTGCTCCGGACATCTCAGGACTCTTTGGAGGGAACCTAACTTGGGGAATTATATAGCATGAGTCAGACAGAAAGATGAACAAGGGAAGGGTGAACGGCATGAAGTACCTATTCCGATCTAAAGCAGCACGAACCATATTTTATTGGCTGACTGACATGCCTTGGAATAATGCCCGTGGCCTTGGAACAAATAGAGGCAACCCACTCCCTTGGGGTTCGGAAGCTACGGCTGTTGAGACCGACGATATGAACACTTGCCATCTCTTGATGTGCTGCTGCTACAGCCTGCTGTCAGCTATGGCCAAGAGTTCGTTCAATCGGTTTGAGGCCATCGCCATTAGGCAAGTCGTTTGCAGACTTTGCAAGTTATGAAACCATCAAACGACACCATCGAAACCATCAAACGACACAGAGGACTCAGACCTGCTCATCAATACAGGCCCCTGTATACTTTATGGACATGACATCAGCGGCCTTTGTTATACCCTTGTTTGGGCATTTTTCAGCGTTCTATTTTTAACTGTTTGGACTTCTGACCTTCATGTCTTCCAGCTGCGGGCCAAAATGGCGCCGAGGAAGAGTGGGCTCGATGTGGTCACGTGTGAGGTGAGGTCCAGTTCCATGATCTACAAGGAAGACTACAAGAAAGTCGATGGAGATGCGCACACCTCAGTGATGTTATGCTTTAAAGCCAAAGCTTGCATCGTTTTCTTGTTGGCCGCTTTAGTTCCCCGCGTAGCTGAAAGCTATTCTAGAGGGGTTCTTACTAGGGGCTAGGAGCAAGGACGCTCCTACCAGAGAGCTGTTGTGAATGCTGGGTGGCTGATCGGCATTTTGGTCTACCGCTGCCGCTGCCTTGTCTCCCCAGTCGTCTTACATGTTGTTGTTGGACCCACTCACTGCCACTGGAAGCTCTTTGCTCCTAGTAGCGTCCTTGTTCCCAGTAGTAAGGCCAGGAGCCCCTAGTAGCGTCCTTGCTCCTAGTAGCGATGCCAGGAGCCCCTAGTAGCTTCTTGTTCCTGGAAGCTCTTTTCTTTGTGAATTGATTGATTTTTGTCGCAGCTTCTTCTATTTTTGGAGTTAGTTGCTATCTAGGGTCTATGCAGGTGCAATTTACATTTCTTGCATTTGCCTATTTCATTCTCAATGTCATTCCCATCGCCACTCTTCCGTAAGGATGACAGTGACGACACTTGCTCTCCTGAGTGTCGACCGGGACGGGAAGCCGGTCCCGAAACCAGCTGGAGTCGCATCCAGCGGCTCCACTTGGATCTCGAGGCGGGTTGCCAAAGTGTTTCTAATGGCTTCTTGTTACTACTAGTAAGGCACTTGTTACTACGGTAGTAGCGATGCACTTGTTTCTAATAGCTTTTGTTTAAAATTAGGTTCGAGGAATTGACCAAGGAATTTACATGTACGGTATATGTATGTGTGTGGATGTGTCTGGCTGTGTGGTGTTGGGGGTGGCGGGAGGTGTTCAGATTGAATCAGTCAGTATTCAGGGTTCCCTTCTTGGATCTGAATCCGAATATTACAAATCAGACATTGGCTTGAGCAACATGTGCGATCTTCTTGCACCTACCGATTGAATGCTGATGTACGTGTAGTTGTTGATGTCGGCTTAGTTACCAGGCCGAGCTGTGCTGTGTGCTGAACTCGCCTTTATTCGCTTCAGGCACAGGTTGGGCAGTCCAGAGCCGACATCCGCAGGATTGAAACAGAACCTTGGATTCCTTGAATTATTTTTTGTTCTTTTGACTCCTTTTTTCTTCTTTCGACGCATTAGGTTGGAGGCCATTGCAAGTAGGTTGGAGGCCACAGCATTGTTAGCTTAAAAACATGATGTTCAATTCTTGTGTCGGATTAGATTCTGCCCGGAGAGCAGAACTCTTTATGTCCAGTTTGTGCTAACTTGCGCTCTGGCGCACGAACGGCTGAGGAGTGTCAAGAGCTCCTGTCCTACTTTGGGCACGAGGTTCGCCTCGGTGAATCTTGAGAAAAGGGGTGTCAAACAGGACAATAATGCCGCGGCATGAATCCCCTTAAGGTCGGGCTGCACATTTCTACAACGAGCAAATCCAAGTTATGTCGCGACTGCGCCAAAAATCTCAGCTGGTAGAACCAGCAAGCTATGACAAAGAAACCGCCAGCACTCACCGGTCTTACTGCAATGTGCTTGACTGGCATGATTTCCAACAAGACACATGGATAGAGTCCGTCCACGCCCCTGGAATATTCGGGCCTACTCGCCGCAAGGTGCGCCTGCATTTTGAAGTGAAGCTGGGAGAAGGTGCAAGGGACCCGCTACACGAATCTTGCAAGGCAATCTGCGGATGGATTTGTTGTACGAAAGCTATACATCTAGCTGGAGTTGCTCTTGCTCTAGCAAGCCTTTTGGCTGGTGGCCGGAATTGCCCACCATTGTAGTAGCTTCTTGTTACTAGTAGTAAGGTGAGGAGCCCCTGGTAGAGTCCTTGCTCCTAGTAGGGATGCCCTTTGTTCCTAATAGCTTCTTGTTACTAGTAGTAAGGCCAGGAGCCCCTAGTAACGTCCTTGCTCCTAGTGGCGATGCCCTTGGTTCCTAGTAGCTTCTTGTTACTAGTAGTAAGGCCAGGAGCCCCTAGTAACGTCCTGGCTCCTAGTAGCGATGCCCTTTGTTCCTAGTAGCTTCTTGTTACTAGTAGTAAGGCCAGGAGCCCCTAGTAGCGTCCTTGCTCCTAGTAGCGATACCCTTTGTTCCTAGTAGCTTCTTGTTACTAGTAGTAAAGCCAGGAGCCCCTAGTAAAGTCCTTGCTCCTAGTGGCGATGCCCTTTGTTGCTAGTAGCTTCTTGTTACTAGTAGCAGGCCAGGAGCCCCTGGTAGCGATGCCCTTTGTTCCTAGTAGCTTCTTGTTACTAGTAGCAAG